CCAAAGGCGCATAGAACACTGTTCCCTTCCCACCAAAGGTGGTTCCTATTTTTCTACTTGCATTTTTTACGTGCTTTCGAACTGCTAGGTTGGCAGAAGCTGGGACAAGTCACGGGAGCTCCCTCCGTTACGCGGTGGTGCTAGGGATTCGAACCACCGAGCTGCTGACCTTTCTTCGTCACTGAGCCTCCGCGTCCCTTATCACTAAATATATACATATATAAGGATTTGAAAAATAACTGCAATAGACACTTGTCATCAATCAAAATCTGCAAGGATCTTCAGATAGGCTGGGCAAAAACCCCCCGGTTTATCCACCCTACGGATGGAGAGGATGGGATCTGGGGCTCCAGGCCACGCAGGCATCCCGCCAGAGAAAGAATCCCGCCCCCCGGGCCCCCTTTTGTTTCAAAAAGCAAGGAGACACCCCCCCCCCGAGTTCATTCATGCTTTTCGAGCACGCATTCCCGCGCTTTCTCTTTCTCCAAAGAATGAAAGGGAGTGGGCGTGGCCAGGCCGTGGGCGCGGCTAAAAGAGAACGACTCTAGCGACGAAAGGGGCGTGGCGTCCTCCCTATCTCCTCCTCCACCTCCGACGTGAGGAAGCTCAAGAGACATCCCATCCCGGAAACCAGACGGAGAGCTCCCATTGGCTGGAAGCGTTCAAAGTCAAAGGCTGGGCGGGAAAGAATGAAAAAAAGATAGGGAGGAGGAGGAGGAGCTTCGCGCGCGCGCGTTCGCGATTGGTTCTTTTCTCCCCCTCCTTTTTTTCCCCTCCCCCCTGTTGTGGTTCCTCCTCCTCCGCTCATTCGCCGCACACGCGCGCCCGGGAAGGCTGCTACCCGAAAGGGAGGGGGGGGAAAGGAGGAGGAGGCGGCGCGCGCAGCTCCCCCCTCACTCCTCCCGCCCTCCCCCCCCCCTCCGCTGACTCGCCCGTTGGCGGGGCTTTCCCGCCTCCCGTCGCCTCAGAAGCCCCGCCGGGCAACGGCTGGTCGCCGGCTGAGCGCTCCAGGTAAGGCGATGGCGGGGGACGGGGGAGGGAAAGCCGTAACGGCGGGAAGAGGAGAGGAAACGGGGGTTGGGTGGAGGTGAGAAGGAGGGGGGAAAGGAACGAAAGCGAACACTCCCCGCTGAGGGGAAAGAGAAGCGGCCTGAGCGGCGCCGCCTCTTTGGCCGCGCGCTTGCGTAGACGCGCCAGGGCGGGGCCTAAGGGTGGGCGGGGCGGAGAGGGCGGGGTTTCCCCGTCTCGCACGTGGCGGAAGCGAACTCGCATCCTATTTACTTACTTTATTTATTTATTTTATTTATTTCATATATATATATATATATATATATATATATATATA